CTACAGATCGTATAAACAAATGTCTAAGGTAGAATAATGTATGAAATGCTGCCTGCAGTTTTTTCTTTTCACATCTTCTGTGAATCTGTGGCAGTTACCAAAAAGATCCAAGTTACTTTTCAAAATTTCAATGGCTGTTGGAGCTTGTGCTCCATTTGATAACTTTCCACCTGAAATGCAACAAAGACTTTGTATCCCAATCAAGTAGATTTGATTTAACTGCCTTTTTCCCTAAGCAGAAAAGGTACATTTCACATGATTCTATAAATGTAACCTTTTAGGTTTCGAGCAAGAATAGATCTTTAATCAGCCAAGGAATCTTGATAACGAACTGCAATCAGCAATGCTGCTGACTCCACAGGTGGGGTTTTTATCCCTTGGGCTAATGCCTCTCTTTTTCGGTTTGGGGTATATGTTGTCCTTTTGGGGGAGAGTAGCAGTTGGTCTAGCTCTGAGATTTGCTTTTTCCTCTCTTATAACTTTCTTTTTCTTTTTCTTTTTCCTTTGGGGGGGGGGGACTCATGCTTGCAATTTTTCCCTAATCTGTTCTTATTTCATCTTAATACTCTCTTGAAAGTTCCCAATCAGAAAAAAAAGAAAAGAAAATGAATATCTTTTAACTACTATTTACATGCTTTGCAAAAAACAATGGGTTCCTTGTCCTCCTATTTATATGACCCCCTTCCCTTAAGCATACGGATGTGCACACACAAAACTGGCCTCACCACTATTTCCCTCCTATGTGGCACCTAAAGCCATACCCTTTTACGTCTTTCAGTCTCTATTTTCATCTCTATTCCCAGTTGCTCCAACCTACAAGTTATGGTGATCACCCCTCACTTTTTTCCCATCTCTTATTGATGGCTAGTGATTTTGACACATGGCACATCCCATTTTTAACAAAGGGAGATTCCTCTGATAATTACTCAAAGAATACATCCATTAAAAGATAAAAACACCCCCATGTTTTGATTTCTATGGTTAGCCAATGGTGGTTTCTTTGAATTTTCACCAGGGATGTGCCCATGTCCTTCACCACCCCCCAAATCCACAGATCTGTTGAGGAAGGGAAGATACCATTGGAAACCCAGGTACAGCAGGAATTGGTGGAATTTTTAGAAGAAGAGATGGTACTATTAGCTGGGCTTACAGTGGACCAATTGGGATAGCCTCTTCAACTAAGGCTGAAATCCTGGCAGCCTTAACTGGAATCAGGATTGCAAGAAATCTGGGATACCTGAATATTCTCATGAAGGGTGATTCTGCAAATACAATCAGATGGTTAGCAGATCCTGGCAGTGGTCCCTGGGATTTAACTCATTTCTTGGCTGAAGCTAGAGACATCCTCTCTAACTTGAATGCTCAGTTGGGTTGGGTCCCTAGGGAGCTAAATTCTGCTGCTGATGGTCTTGCAAAGGCTGGCGCTGACAGGGATTGCTTGTTTAGTGATAGCTTCCTTCCTGTTTAACTTTTGAGTTATATTTCCTGTGAACATCTTCTCATATACCTCTTGTTTTATGAATAAGTTACCATCTTTTTCAAAAAGTTTTCAAAAATGGGATGTGCTAAACTGCTAATTAGTTACCTTGTTGACAAGCTTGCCCATTTGTTTAAGACTCGAACACATTCAATGGTTGTCAGTTATAGAGCAAAAGTTTGATTGCAATGGGATATGAAACTGGCATGGGCAAAGACACTGTAAGCATGGACAATTTAGAAGGTCACTTGATCAAAGGGGTGCTCTAAGCATCAATTAGTGCAGATATAAAGAAGGATAGTTCTACGAAGAAAAACATCTCTTATAGAACATTTTTTTTTTTGATGAATAATAGTAAATTTTATTAGTTCAAAAGTTGATTTAGAGTTGTGAATTCATATAACATCCCAGGGAGAGGCGCGAGCTGCAGCCCCTCCTTGAATCTTACAAGTTAGCTTGGAAAGAAATACAAGAATCACAGCTGAACCCAAAACAATTCTTCCCTATTTACCCCTTGCTCGGCTAACACATCGGACAAAGTATTTGCTGATCTCCCCACCCACTGTAAAGAGACCAACATATTCCTTGTCAACCAACTGAATTTCTTCATTTCATTCTTGTAGCGCCATATAGCATCTTCAGGATTTTTCAACCAGCCCACCACCACTTTGGAATCCCCTTCAATTACTAGATGCTGTACCCCCAGCTGGTTTGCAAATTGCACCCCTTGTACAGCAGCTAATAGCTCTGCCTTGATAGAGTCCCCAACTCCTAAAGGACCCGAGTAGAGCAACAGAATCTCTCCCTTCTCATTTCTCAAGACACCCCCATTCTGGATAATCCTGGCCCATGCTACTTCCATCAAAGTTCAGCTTCAGTGAGCCTTCAGATGGAGGAGACCAGCTTGTAATTGACTTGTCTTTTTTAAGGGTGAACACCTTGCTACTGCTGACCAGTTTCTCCAAAGGTCATTAAAAGAGAAATGATGAAAGATTTGCAAAGTCTTCAGCCAAAGTATTGCCCTATGCAATACATAGTCTTTCAATTCCTGACTGCTCCTTTCCTTTTCTTGAAAGATTCTAGCATTCCTTTCTTCCCAAAGAGTCCAAATCAGGGCAGCGCGAGCACATCTCCACATAATTCTCCCTCTTTTTGTAGGCCAAGAGAAAGTAGAATGGTTAAAGATCATGCGAACTTCTGCTGGTATACTCCAACTACTCCCAAACAACAAAAGTAGCCAAGCCCAAAGGTGTGCAGAAAAAAGGAAAAGATATTAGTAGATGGTAACAATCTTCCCCGTGAGCTTTATAGAGGATACACCAATTGGGAGAAATGCAGAGGAAAGGTCTTCTCTGTTGTAGGTTATCTAGAGTGTTTACTTTCCCATAGAATACTTCCCAACAAAACGCCATAATCTTTGGGGGAACTGGCCTACACCAAATTTCCTTTGACGAAAAAGGTTGTTGAGCAAAATGCTGAAAGACGGACTTGAAGTAAGAAGCACAAGTAAAGGTTCCTTTGGGTCTAGGAGTCCACACCCTTTTATCTGGCTTGGAGGGATCCAAGCAAACCTGATTAAGGCAACATAGCAAGTCAAAGAGAGATTCAATTTCATCATCCCTTAGTCCCCTATGAAACCCAAAATCCCAATTAGGAGCCAGGGTGTTACCACCTCTTTTTTGTACAAAGAAACATAAAATAGTAAAGGGAAAAGGTCCTTTAGGGGGGGTGTCTCCTACCTAGATATCCTCCCAAAAGCGAACAACGTTTCCAGAACAAACTTCATACTTGATAAAATTGAGAAATTGAGGAAGGGTGTTGTGAATGGCCTTCCAAGGTGCTGCCAAGTTAGCTTGCCTTGATACACCAATATCCCATCCATTCTCTGATCTCCCATGAATGCTTCCCACCACCTCATGCCACATCATCTCACTTTCCAATGGCCATCGCCACAACCATTTCCCTAACAGAGCTTGATTTTTTTCAATCACCCTCCCAAGTCCCAAACTCCCATCTTCTTTACTTCTGCAAACAATTTCCCAACTAACCAAATGATCATTTTTTTCTTGTCTCGGCTCCCACAAGAAGTCTCTCATCAACTTCTCCAGCTTCCTAGCTTCCCTAGCTGGTATCCTAAAGACAGACAAAAAGTAAGTAGGTAAGTTAGACAAAGTAGCCCTTATTAAGGTAATTCTCCCTCCTAAGGAGATATAATTCTTCTTCCACAAGGCTAATCTCTTCTCAAACTTTTCTAGCACTAGGGTCCAAAATTTGCTCTCCCTAGTGTTTGCCCCTAATGGAAGCCCTAAGTATGACATAGGCCAAGCAGAGATGGAACACTCAAGACACTCTGTAGTAACCTCGATCTCTTCATCCTCCAAGTTTATACCCGCTATGCAACTCTTTTCCAGATTTATTTTCAGATTAGAAATCCTTTCAAATCCTTTGATTAGCTCCTTTAGGTTTGCTACCTTCTCGCTAAAGCCTCATTCACAAAAGATCATTAGGTCATCTGCAAACTGAAGGTGGGTGATTGGGATTTGGTGTCTCCCTATTCTCCAACCCCTAATGGCATCTTCACTATCAGCCTTAGTAATGATCCTACTAATCACATCGGCTACTAATGTAAAAAGGAAGGGTGAGAGTGGATCCCCTTGCCTGACACCCTTGCAAGCTGGAAAAAAGTCCCTTACCACACCATTTACCAGAATGGAGTAGTGACCGGTACTGATACACCCAGATATCCAACTACACCACTTGTCCCCAAATCCAATCACCTCTAATAAAAACTCCCAGTCCACCAAGTCATAGGCTTTATGCTGTTGGATCGAGGCACCGAAGTTAAATTATTCGAAAATTCTTGATAGTAATCTAACCATAAAAGGCCTAATTAAATAATCAATAAATTAATCAGAAAAATTAATTATGGACTTCTAGTTACTTTGGAATATAGCATCGATCAATCTAGCCTATGACTCTATTGATGTACTACACCTCCACCACAAGTTCGTTTGTTTCTTGACAGCTTGTATCCTACTTCAAGAATAAATGAAAGTAGAGTTGAGTGAGAAACAAAATCTGCACAATATTTCATAATACACACCAAAAAGTTGAAAAAAATCATCTGCATGGTATTTTATATTATTTTTAGATTAAGCCATTGGAAAATGTCTTTCTTTTACTATGAGTTTTACTTAAATTATATTCAACTCAGAAATATATGATACTTGATATTGGAATTTGGTGTATCATTGTAAGGATACTATATGATAGTATTTTGATATCTATGTTTGATAATAGAAATTATGAACTATTTGGTGTTGCTATACTATAACTTCTTTTAGTCAAATTAACTGAACAGAATGGAATGGAGAAACATGATTTATCTAGCCGACCCTATATAGATGGGACAAGGCTTAGATGATGTTGATGTTGATGATGTCAGTATTTGTTGTCTTTTTGCTTTTCTCTGATTAATATTTATGCAATTATTTTACTTGTATCACTTTGTTCTGTGCTTGAGGTACTTCTTACAACACCCACTACTCCAACAGATCGGATGAAAGCCATCGTTGAAGCTTCAGAAGGATTTGTGTACCTTGTAAGATCCTTTGTGCAGTAAATAAGCTTTTCATATCTCTTTTATTTAGCTGGAACGAATAGTTCTTAGGTATATTTCAGCATTCATTTACTAATACTTGTTTTTTATTGTTTCCTTCTCAAATGTTTTCATATGAAGTACATAAGTACATTAACTCAGATAGCTAAGCCTTATCCCAACTATATGGGGTGGGCTACATGAATCTTGTCCACCATTCCACTGTGTTTAGTGCCATGTCCACTGTTAGCCCTCAAATCATTTCGTGCTACTTAATCCATGTCCTTTTTGATTTGCCCTTATCTCTTCTAACAAATCACTAGTTGTTGGTGCTGTGGATGGTCTTCTTTGGACGAGACCAAACCATCTTAATCTACTTTCCCTCTTTTTATCACTTTTTTGGGTTACTCCCAAGTTCCTATGAATAATCCATAACCCCATCCTTTCTAGTTTTGCTATTTATCCATCTCAACATCCGCATTTCTGCTATATTCATTTTCATGGATATGCTGTTTCTTGATTGCTCAACAGTGCTCCATGTCACATTGCTGGCCTCATAACTGTTTTATAAGTTTTTTACTTTTAGTTTAAGTGGTTTTTTCTTATCATGACATCCTCCTCAATCTCTCCCTTTCTATGGATTAGCGGATTGGGGTGAAAGAAGTCGCATTGAGATATCTCTTGGTTTTCAATCTTAATTATACCCTGATTATCACTCCTATTATTAAATTTACATTGCATATATTCCATTTTAGTCTTATTTATTTTAAAACCTTTTTTTTTCTGAGACATCTTTCCATAAATATAATTTTGCATTTAATCCCTCTTTGGTTTTATCAATTAATACTGCCACAAACGAACAAAATACACCATGGGACCTCCTGAATATGTTTTTTCAATTCATCTATGACTATTGCAAATAAATAAGGGCCAAGTGCTGAGCCTTGGGGAAAGTCCAATTGTGACAGGAAACTCTGACATCTCTTCTTTTGATATTTCGACATTGGTTGTTTCACCTTCATACATGCCCTTTAATTAGATCTATATACCCATTTGGTACTCCTTTCTGTTCTAAAATCCATCATGTTATCTTTCTAGGGATGAAATAGATTAACAAACTTTTCGTAACATATATGATATCTGGAAATCTAAGATGTAACATATTTAAATGTTTTAGTTCACTAAATCATTTAATTGTCTTATTGTTTGTGCTGTAACTGATTTTGCTTTTAGTTTTTTCATTGGCCTTTGTAATTAGGCCTTTAAATGAACAGCTCTTCGATTATCAACAGATTTCTGTCTCTAAGATAGTAGAGAAGAATCATAGTTGAACAAAGCCCCAAAGTTACATACTATTTTTTTTTTTTAAACTATTTGTTAGGCATGTGACTCATATTTTATTTTGAAAATTTGGATTTTTTTTCCTTGTCTTTGAATAAAATGATTGGTGTTTGCTTTTGTGGACCAGCTTATCTAGCTTCATTAAAACCCTAACAATGTATGATATATTGAATAGGTAAGTTCGGTTGGAGTTACTGGAGCTCGTTCATCTATAAGTTCACGGGTTCAATCTCTTCTACAGGAGATTAAGAAGGTTTGAGATGCGTTTCACATCAAATATAGTAAAATCGTTTTTTTATATTATAGGAGTTATAGGATACAATATTCAATTATTTGTTTGGCACAAGGCCATAAATTTAGGAGGCTGCATACCATCATGAGAACTATCGATAATATTTGGAAATAGCTTAGGTATAAGATTCAGGAGAATCTGAAACTTATATAATCTATGAGGGATAATAGTCAGCAGCTATAAACTCTTTGGGTAGTACATGTACAGTGGATCCAAAGTGTGGAATTGATAGCTAAAATCACCAAGGTAAACATGCATAAATAAGATGGTACTGCATCTTATTTTTTTCTTAGTTTTTGAAATTATGGACTGTTATGTGTGCTTTTGGGCTATAGCCACTCCAGAGAGGTAGCACATCAACTTGGAGGTGGTTTGCAGTTGTTTCATGGAGTACGTGAGACATCCAGTTCTTTGTCAATTGCTGATACTCTTCCTACTCCCACACAGGCAACAGATAAACCAGTCGCAGTTGGCTTTGGCATATCAAAACCAGAACATGTGAAACAGGTAACTCCTATACATCAAAATGACCTGGAAGTTTGTGCTTGCAATCTTCAAACCCCAGACACTTGACATACCATTTCAAATCTTGTTGGTTACAGATAGCAGGATGGGGAGCTGACGGTGTCATAGTTGGTAGTGCCATGGTGAAAATTCTTGGTGAAGCAAAATCTCCCGAGGAAGGATTGATGGACCTAGAAAACTTTACGAAGTCCCTAACAGCTGCAATCTCTTAAAAATTTTGTAGGACCTTAGTAACACCTCTAACTTTTATTTTATATTCATGACAAGCAAATCGGTATGGAATTACAGAATTTAATCTCATCTAAGTTCAACCTCACCTTCATTTTGTCTAGCACTAAATGAATCTCAGTTTGCTGGGAATGTAAACCGTCTCCAATAAGAAATTCATAATTACAGTGTTCACCTCAACAAAACTGCACCGAGGCCCTTTCCTCAGTCTCCCTCTTTTCATTTCTTCCCTTATTTTCATGACCCCATTTCATCTAGAAGCTTTTAGATAGCATTAATTGGATCCATGGATCAGACTTGTCCAGCTCAGGCAGCCTTTGGGGATGAACTTCTCCATGTGGCTTCATTGGGATTCCTATTATTGGATTTATTGTAAGCCTCTTAGACATCGTATTTGGCCAGGAAAATCGATCTGACAAGTGATAACCATACATAGGCTCCCACCTTTGGTTTCAACTAGTGAACTTACTCATTGAACAGAGTTAAGCCTTGATCTAAAAGGAGCCTGCATGAGTGCAAGCACTAAGGTTGCCTTTGCCTACCGAGCTGGCATTGTCTGGTCGCATGTCCCCAGCTTCAGGCCTTCAGCTTCTGAGATAACTGATGTATGGCCTGTTTCGCATGTCCATGCATTTCTAGACCGCATATGATACATGTTCATGAGAAGACATCGCTCTGGGCTTTCTGTTCTGGCAATCTTTTCATAAACTTGTAGTGCCTATATGTTCCTCAACTTGGAGTTGACGTGAAAAACAGCATTTGGGGACCTGTGTGATTTCAATTCTGTTCTGTGTAGCATGCATGCGGCATTCAGGTACGACTTATTTTTGATGGACTTGAATACACCTAACTGAAGACAAGCTTTATCCTTTCACCTTGTGAATTATGAAATGCAATCTTGCTATATAGTAGAGCTTAAAGTAAAGGGAGAGAGAGGTGTCAGACGTACAGGGCTTATCGAAACCAATCTTCTCTGGAGACAGACGAGTCCAATTGATTCCATGACCGTCACTGGAGAAGATGGACTTTCTGTTTTCTGCTGCTGTCTCTCTTTACGCTTTAATGGGTTCTAATAAACCTTCTGATTTCTGCCCACTTATGTCTATCTTTCTTCTTCCTAGGCTCTATCCAAACAGAAGCTTGGCACTGGTTTGGAACCCACTGATAAGTCGATAACCCATGGTCTCGCTCAAAAACGCTGAACGGTGATGGTGTATGAGTCGTGGATCTATTACCAACATCATTTGAAAATTGGAATTTTAATCCCCATTTGATATATGAGTTTACATGGGATTCTTTTATTCGTCCATTTTAAAAGGAGCGAAAGCAAAGCTAATGACATCGACTCACCTGCCGGATCTCCCTAGAAGCCTTCAATGCTTCTCGATTTTGTGCAAATGCATGTTTGCATCACCATAGCTCACAAGAATCACTGTTGAGACGCTTCATTAAACAATCAAGGCCGTCTATTCACATACTCATAATCAAAATAATATCCCCCCAAAAATACAGAAATGTAAAAAATAAAAAACAAAGAAGAGTTGGTAATAGATATAGATGCTGTAGCTGATGATGATCCTTGAAGACTTGATGCGACCTCTAAATTATTGTTAGTTACAGTTACAGGAGGTAAGTAATGCTGATGACTACTGTGTATTGTCCTTCAGTAATCATTCATCATGATCTATAGCAAGAAAGTAGCCTTGAGCCTTCAATTCACTGGCCAAAACTTGCATCATCATTTCCAATTGATGATATCGTACATCACTAATAAAGAATTTGTGGGTCTTTCCATCAATCTCAATCCAACTGCAACCAGGTGGTTTTTTCATCCCACGGTTCCTCATGAGAGCCCTCACCTTTGCAACTTTATCCCATCTTTGTGCTTTAGCATATATGTTAGAAAGCAACACATAGTTTCCTGAATTCTCAGGTTCCATCTCTAGCAAATTCTTAGCTGCTAGTTCACCCACTTCAATGTTGTTGTATATTCTACATGCATTCAGAAGAGCACCCCATACTCCGGCATGAGGCTTAACAGGAGGCATAGCTTCGGTGATAATTCTGTGTGCATCCGATACGCGGCCAGATCGGCCTAGCAAGTCAACCATGCACATGTAGTGATCAGCAGTTGGGGCAATGGAGTAATCACTCTGCATGGAATTGAAGTACTGGAAGCCTTCATCCACTAGACCTCCATGGCTACAAGCAGATAGGACCACAATGAAGCAAATACTATCAGGCTTCAGCCCATCTTCCTGAAGATGAGAGAAGATCTTCAGAGCATCTCTGCCACGCCCATGCATACCAAATCCTGACATCATAGTACTATAACAAATCAAGTCCTTGTCATTCCAGCTCTTGAACAACTCAGATGCTCTATCTGGATTCCCACACTTGGCATGCATGTCAATGAGGGCTGTTACTGTGTGGTTATTCATTAGTCTGTTCCCATGACTTTTGATGTAATCTACAATCCGTTCCGCCAATTGGACTGATCCCAATTGAGCACAAGCAGCAACCACACAAGTAATTGTGGTCTGGTTTGGTTTCACATCTCCTATCCTTAACATGTGATGGAAGAGATCCAGGGCCTCGTTGAAGAAACCCGCCTGAGAATAGGTAGAGATCATTGCATTCCATGAGGCCACATCCCTTTCAGCCATCATGTCGAAGATTAGTCGTGCATTTGTAATGTCGTTGCACTTCGCATAGCCCGTGATCATTGCTGTGCAAATGATAGCATTGCTGTTGAGCCTAGATTGATCTGAAACCAACTGATCAAAAAGTTCTTTTGCATAATCCATTCGACCCAAGTTTGCATATCCAGTGATCATCACCTCCCAAGTGAAGAGGTTCCTCACTGGCATCTCCTTAAACAAAGAGCGGGCGGCATTCATATTTCCATATTTCGCATGTCCTGCAATCATGGTATTCCACGCTTGAACATCCCTCTCAGACATTTTACCAAAGAGCTTCTGTGCTTCTTCCATGAACTCACATTTAGTATAGAAATCTATCAATGCCGTCTGGCTGCGAATTTCTGTATGATATCCATACTTCACAACATGGGCATGGATCTGAATTCCCTGTCTCAGTGCTGAGAACCCCGAACACGCCTTTAGGACTGATGATAAGGCGAAAGCAAGTGCCTGGTCCGCAGCCATCGTCCTGCTCTCTTGGCGGTGCATACGGGCGTATGTTGCTATTGCCTCTCTATAGCAAGGCTGTGAATCAGACTGCTGTGAGTAGCCCCTAATCATGGCTGTCCACAAATAGACGTTAGGATTATCAACGGCATCAACAACAGCCCGAGCATGTTTTAAGTCACCAAAAGTCGTGAATTCACGAACAAGTTTTGTGATGAGGAAGTTGTTTTGCGATTGCCCAGTCACGACTAGGTAAGCTTGAACTTGTTTTAATTGTCTTGCATCCTTGCAATGATTTATTAATCGAATGAGCTGCTCCTCCTCGGCCCTGCTCCAGGTCCGACGACTCAATCTAGTAGGCATCGATAGCACTTTAAGTTTAGCAAGTCATGACACCAGTCAAATGCCGATATAGCAATGCCTTTCTTTCTCCGTCGAAACAACCAGCACAAATTTGAAATTTCTATGCGAGAAGCGAGGACATTGGCTAAGAGAGGCGGGTGTTTGATAAGATGTCTCTGAGAAGCAGTTCCTCTTGGAATGCCTTGCCAACATGATATCCGCTGATAAAGAGCAAAAACAAACCAAGATGTTGCTCGATAGTTTTACTGTAAAACCGACAGACAAGACCAAGGTTGACGTGCTTTCTGCATGTTCTCATTTGGGTGTTGTAGAGTTCTGCGTCCACGRGTACATACAAAAGACAGTTTCTGACTGAAAAAGAATGTATTCAAAAGATTGAATGAGAAGGAAGAAAAGGCCATGGAGCCATTTCGCTGGTTGAGCCATCTGGCGCAACGGAGGCTCCTAACGCAAGAGTCAAAACCCAACGTAGTCAGTCCTTTCAGTTATGTTATCTACTATTTGCATGGGCTAGTGGAAAAAGGGGCTCCACCTCATCCATTCATTCTATGAGCAGAACCTGAAATGCGACAAAAGAAATTAGGATCATGTTTGGTTCTTTTGCTTATGAGGAGATTCTAAAATGGGTGTGATAGTAGGGTTATAAAAATACATTAATCCAATTGACCCAGCCTGGTCCGAAGCTGGAGCCCGAGACAGTGTAAATTGGGCCCGAAGCCCGGCCCATGAACAGGCCTGTTCATGTTCACACCGGATCAACTGGATTGATGTATTTTTATAACCCTACTATCACTGTCGACTAAGGATAAGGACTTATTAGACATAATTTGAAAGTTCAAGATTCTATAGAAACACGATTTAAAGTTTAGAGACTGACTTGACACAACCCATAAATTTCAATGTGAACTGTTTAAGAATTTTCCCCAATATTTATTTAGTTAGAATTATTTGCATCAATTCCTTTTTTTTAAATGCTAAAACTTTTTAGAATAATATAATCAAGGGGTGAAATGGGTAAAAATAAAATATGGAAAGATTCTAGAATAAGGGAGCTCGAAACATATATAAATCGGGTGCCATTAACAACAACAGACTAGCAACCCATTTTATGGGAGAGAAACCCATATTCCTTCCCTCCTCTATCTCCTTTATCTTCTCATTCTCCCGAATCCAATTTTTTGGGCAAAAATGAGAATGACTTTGGACCCATTTGGTTGGTTGTAATTTTTGTTCTATTCTTTATTTTTACCAAAATAATATTTTGGGTTGCAAGCTTCTCATATAAAATTGTATTATGAATCCTATATTAAAGACCTAATTTTTGTATATAAAATTGAATAATTTCTTATAAGAACCAAACATCGCCTAACTCTTCAAGGACATTATTAATTGATAGAATCGATCATTATACAAGTTAATCTCTATATAAAAAACCCCAACACGACATCTGAATATTATTAAATTATTCTTGTCATCTGAGAATTATTCTATTTTTGTAATGAATATTCAGATAACTATTCTTGAAAAATAAAAAGTAAATTATCTACGACAAGTCATTCCGAAGTGCTTTTATGAGTCAAATGAGATAGAATTATTAGATATGGCCTCCTGAACTAGTTGATATTTTTATGAATTTGAATCTGGATGGCTTCACTAGAATTAGGTTCATCCTATTTGTAATCCGATACATTTATATCAGTGCAAATGAAATTGACACTGGAACACAAACTAGGCCTTTGCTTCAAAGGCTCTTTTTAGTTTTTTCTCCTTGGTTAGAAATTGAAAACAAATATTTTGCCTACTTTAAATGATGTTGAAGCTTGTGGGTTCCATTGAATGGAGTAGTTGATAGAAAGTGATGAAATGGACTAAAGAATTGCAACTGCAATCAGGATGTTGACTTAACAATAATGTCTCACATGTCCAACCACAGAGTAGGGATATAGAGAGTTGTTTGATTACTAAAATATCCTTGCTGTCTCCTTGTAATAACAAAATGAAACTGTCTATGGATATGCATCCTGCATACACGATTGGACTATTCATTGTAGATTAATCAATAGATGGTCCACACCATCTGACTCTTTTCTTTCAAGCCATATATTAATAAGAGTGGTACTCCAACAGAACTCACAACAAAATCATCAAAAACACAGCTGGAGCTGAATGAGTGTTATTTAATGGAAAAAATGGCTATACAGAGCTCTATGAGACAGTAACAGTGCTGAAGGCATGCCTGTATGGACTAAGGTTTCACATGGAGAGAACTTGTGAACAGAACAGGCTGTCCAATATGGGCAGTTGGACACCTCTATTTAATGATAGCTTTTCCTTTCTACCCTTTTGTTTCCTTCATAGTCATTAACTTTGGATAACTTTCATGAAGAGGCTTTTCTTTGAAGACCACTAAAATGTTATAAAAAACGCCGGAATAAAAGACCGCCGCCGGCAAGTAACCGCCGAGAAAAGTGAGACTGGCACTTGAACAAGGATCAGCTTGAAAGTCCATAGGGACCTGAGGCAACTACCATGGTGGAAAGATCATTCTAATCAACTTGGGACAGCAATGTTATGAAAGGAAACTACTATTTTGCTATGCCATGCTTTTGATAATGCTATTGGAATGGGTTTCCTTATGTTCTTATTTTTCATTAACTTTAAGTAAATATTTTAATCATGGGGCATGCTAACTAGCTAGGATGAGGGGAGCCTCATCATAACAACAATGAGGTGCCCTCCTAGCTGCAACTTTATCTTCCTTAAGGAAGATTAGGACCCACCATGAGATAGATCCTACTCTAGACAACAATTATTAGCCAAAAGTCAGCACAATCAAATGATTCTATTGAAAGATATTTTCTTACAAAGTGAGGTTTCTATCATCATTATCTAAGCCTTATCCAATTATATGGAGTCAGCTATATGAATCCTGTTTGTCATATTAAAATGAAGTATTCATCTGATAATAAATAAGCTACCATTAGAATTTTCAAAAATAATTCATTCATTAGGTAGATGAAACTTATCTGATTTTTATGATCTTATAAAAAGGTAATAATTTTGGTGACGTTTAATGGTGGACCCAAATTCTCTACAATTATGATGAGAGTAACCTTATAGTAATTGGGTTCTTTATTTCTCCTATTAGCAATTAAACCCATGCAATGTATAGTTGAATAAAAATTTGGTTAGATTTAGATTGATAAATTTGGGTTTTAATATCAGCTTGGGTCCAAGTCAATGTCCATGTTTAAGGCTAGTCTTTAACTCGACCCAATCCATCTAATTTGTACTCTTGCTTTATTAGAGAGAGTCAAAAGGGATTAAAGAGTAAAGTAACGATTTAATGGGGGAGGAGAGATGCTACAAACAATGAGTTTAAAGATGATGGTTGTTAGTGAATAGTATTGGACCAGAGGAATGGGTCCAATATACCTCATGTCTGTATTTCTTTGTTTTTTTAATCCAATAATTTTTTTTTTAAAAAAAAGCAAGAATTAATGATGTTGTTAGCTAGAGAGTAATTATAAATCTTATTTGGAAAAATTAAGACCTATGAGATGTTTATTGTGACTGCTTATATTTCTAATAATTTAATTTAAAAATAAATGATGAGAGGAAGATGAGGTTCGTGTGAGCATCTCTTCTCTTTTCCCTCTATATAATATAGGTTTAGGTAAGAAAAGGGAAATAAAGGCATGGGTAAAAAAATGTTGTTGTCATTATCAAAGAGATGCTTTTGTAATATTGTTTTTCGTTTTATAAAAGGATTGCTCAGCTCACGAAAAGGATACTTTTCATCATTGGATTAGTATACAATGGGAAGCAATGACAATGGAAGGTGGGGATGAATGTGTCAAAAAGGTTCCTCTCATGAGGGTAATGTCATTAAATTGATACCTTTTAGGGTCACATGTCACTCATATGAGGTGTTAGATGGGGCACGTGATATTACATTTTTGGTTATGGGAAATGGGGATAATAGATTCGAGTCTGATGTGAGAAAGGTTAAAGGTCCCCCCTATTATCGTAAAGGCCCTTAAGTTCTAAATAGACTGAAACTGAATGATGCGTTGAGATACATTTGAGAAATACATAGATATAATGAAAAAAAAATGAAAACTTTTTATATATACATTCAACAAGTTGTTGAGTTAATTGCAGAACTATAAGAGTTAATTATGAATAATTTATAGGAGTCAACCCTCGACCCTCATACGATTCATCTCAACCCTCGATCCAATCCCATCCTGACCCTTTTCCTCTGATCCTAGCTAGTGGTAGTGGGTTATTTGATCCATCTTAACCTGCCACTAGAATGGGTGAATTTTAAAGAGGGTGAGTTGAGTGATTCAAATGGGTTGTAGTCAAAATGGCCAGCTCTAATACATGAATAATTAAGGGCAATTAATAGTTATCAAATACTTTGTTACAGAGGAATGTATTGGATACACTCACATATATCAGCCAATACATGATACAAAGACGAGCATTGACAAATGTAGATACTGTGAAAGTATCGCTCAATCGTATGGCTGCCTTTCGTAAGAGCGCAAAGGTGAATGAACTGATGTAAATGCAAATTTGTTCAAATAAAAGGATGCAAATTTGATTTAGTTTTGCACTCATAAATTTATAATGCCTTGTTTGACTATGAATCTATGATGAAGCAAGGCAGAAACTAACCTATTTGTATGACCAACTTTGATTGCAAAAATATTTGATTTTCATTTTCATTACAAAAAACCTATTCTCACCAAATGGCTATACAACTGAACTAATGTTGTATTTGGCTCAACATTCGCACTCTTGCCAAATACTAATGCTGTGTTTGGTTGCAGTGCAATTTAATTTGCACTAGTATAAATGTATGAGAGTGCAAATGAAAAAGTGCAAATTCTTGTTTAATTTTGTTTTGGGTTTTATTTTATTCTGCTTCATGTCTTAATTTACTTCATTTGTCTTGCAATCAAATAAAATAATTTAAATTTTGAAACAAAAATAAGTCAAAATTTACACTTAAATCATTTGCATGCCATAATTTTGTATCTGTGCAAATTTATTTGCATTGCAACCAAACACATCCTAAAGCTCAATTTGGCAAGACTACAAATACAAATATGTGCAATGCAAATGCATATAAAATAATACAAAATACTTGCACTCTACATATTTGTATTTGTACTCTTTCCAAACTGAACCTAAGGGCCTGTTGGTTTGCTTTAAAGTTTAACATCTGAAAGTGCAATAATTACATTAAGAGGTATATTAGTATTGGTGAACTTTTCTTTCCTATGAACTCTGAATGCAAAGAATGTTGTTCTGAATTTTGAATTCTGAAAATTATTAAATATCTATTTTGACCCCATATATAAGAGTTTTTGTTTGTCTTTTTGAGACTACCATTGGAAAACAAAAAAAAAAAATGTATGATTGCACTTTAAGAGATAAGAGATAAGAGGAAACAAACAACCATTTTTCTCTTAAAGTTAAAAGATTCCTCTTAAGAGATAAGAGTTAAGAAGAAATAAACAGGCCCTAAGTGTGAAATGGTCAATTTTTTTAGCTCTTTTTTTGTTATGTGTGTTGAGAGAGAAAACATGTGCTTAATAATAAATTTCAAAATTTATTAGATAAAATAATGGTAATGCCCTTAAAAATGTCATTATTTCATTTTATTATTTTCACCTCATGAAGAACCCTTTTATACTAATAAACATTTTAAAATTATATGAGCATCTCTAGACCTTTCAAAATCAAATTGACAACTAATATACATATCGTTCAATCCTTATCCCCTATCCACTTTTGATCCATAAGCATCTTATCCTTAAGCTATAAATGTTTCTTACCCACAAGTATTAGCTGCAGCAAACACACTGCCTTGAGTTCCCCTTGGATAAGCTTTTGCTTTTGAACTTTGGGCTGTGAAAAACAGAATTGAGCTAAAAAGTATTTTGAGCATTTGGTAAAAATTGCTTTCAAAAATAATTTAAAGCCAAAATACTTTCAATCCCATAGCACGAAAGCATAAAAATTGTGACATTGTGATTTTGAACTTCTAAGAATACAAACCTTGAATTATCCAAACACAGATTAAAATATTATGAGTGGAACCAGATGAGGGCCCACTTGAGATGAGATAATATTCCAGATTTATATGACGTACAGAGAATTTGCAAGGAATAAAAGAAAACAAATTTGTATTTGTATGATTAATTGGCATTGCTTTTACTTGGAGATGGAGAGGAGCATCAAACATAAGAACAGAATAAAGATGAACATTCAAGTAGGAAAGGAAATTGTGTGGCCTATCTTGTGATGGAATTTGGCCCAACAAGCTTTTTGGGCCCCTTTGGTGGGTTTGTTAGGTCCCTAGTAAGTGGTGACTTGACAAGCTAACAGACACTGATATATGCTATTTTTGGGTCTGGGACTGGGACTCTGGGCTACTTCCCTTCTATGAATCCCTGTCATCGCTTTCTTCCCCACAAAGGGCCCAACCTAGAAAACGAAATAAAGGGCAAAAAAAAAAAAAAAAAAAAATCAAAGGCCCAAAAATACCCATTTGATTACATATTTTTACGAGGCAATAATTCAGAGTCTGGCCCATTGGGCTTTCAAAAAAAAAAAAAAAGTCTTAACTCTTATCCATTACACATGTAGAGACATGGTTCTTAAAGGCCCTTAAATGAGCCCCATGAAAGGGAGTCGTGTCGCCCCTTCTTCCAAGGAAGAAAAAAGAATATAAAAAGGAAGGTACGAGGATCCTGGAAAATGGGTTGGTGCTATGTCTCAACAGATTTCTCACAACCGATTAAGGACCCCACATTGGTCTGGATAGTAATTGACCAAACGATTTTTAACTATCCGATTGTTATCACCTGATCAGATCATATTAATTTTGAATAATTGAGGTCTCTAACTCTTGGATGGGAAGCAGAAGAAAATTATTTCTGGTGATTCCAAATTTCGACTTAGAAGCCCATCTTCTGGCAATCGCTTTTTAGACTTTATTGGCCCATGGGGGCCTAACTGGACTTTTTGACCGGTTCACTACTTCATTTTCAATATGCTTTGTTATGGTCCCACATGTTCTCCAATCCTGGACCGTCCTATTTTCATGATCAGAGATTCCTTGCCAACATGAGACCTGAGATTGGGCCTGCAACCGAGATCTCTTATTGGACAGCCCGGTTCTGGGCCTCACGTGCGGTGAAAATAAATAATAATTTTTTTTACTAATAATCAGATAATAACAATAGCGGCAACTTGCTAATATGAAAAAAAAAGAAGATAATGCTTCTAAATTCTGCTTTTCTATTTTTGGTAGGTATATCTTTTGACACATCAGATGCTATATTCCCTAAAAAGGAAACTGATGCTGAAGATGTCTCAGCCATCCGATAGAAAGGTTTTGATGTCCAGCGGTTAATAGATGAGACGTAGGATCCAGCGTGTATCAGATGCTATATTCCCTAAAAAGGAAACTGATGCTGAAGATGTCTCAGCCATCCGATAGAAAGGTTTTGATGTCCAGCGGTTAATAGATGAGACGTAGGATCCAGCGTGTAGAATTTGAGCGGCTGACGTGGTATGTCGAACGAATAGTGGACAAATGGGCCCTACTTCTAAATTTCTCTCAATGGGCGTCCCAGCATCCGATAGTGGAAGAAGGCCCAAAAAGGTTTATAAAGGGCCCATGGATATTGGATGAGAAAGGAAAAGAAGTCGTCGTCTCTTCTAATCTATGTGATACCGTCCGTCACCGCGTCACGACTCACGAGTTAGAAGAACAAAAGCGCCATACCAGATTGTTGAGAGAGAAAGAAGGGATATAGAGAGAGAAAATGGATAGGGTGTTCTCGGTGGAAGATATTCCCGACCCGTTTTGGCCACCGCCACCGCCACCGGTGGCGCCGGCGCCGGCGCCGCCCTCTCAGTCATCCACAGTGCAGCAACTCGAGGATTTAAAAATGAACCGGAGCTCGTCCGAGTGGGCTTTTCAGAGGTTCCTGCAGGAAGCTTCTTCTGTAGCTGAAACTTCGCCGTCTTCCGTGTCTGCAGCTTCGTCCGTTACTCCGCCTTTCGCGTCTCACGAGGCTTCACAGAGACCTGCCAATGGACGTGACGATGAAGTCGTTGAGATCAAGAAGCCTCCTCCTCCCCCTCCTCCGCCTCACTCTGATCCCTCTCCCAATGTGCCGATTGATTCCGAGGAGTACCAGGCGTTCCTTAAGAGTCGTCTCAATCTTGCTTGCGCCGCTGTTGCCTTGTCTCGGGTCATTTCTCTTTTTCTTTTCCTTTGAATTTGTATGGGATCAGAATTCCTTTTTGGATTACTTGGTTGATTTGTGCTTCTTGTGGGATTACTTGGTTTGCGAAGTTGTTTGCTTTCCCATTTTTTTGCGATTGATTGGATTTTTCTTCATCACTCGAATTCTGTCCACGATGCATACCGATATTTTTGTTTGGATTTGCTCTAGGTAATGCAGTGTCGGTTCAGTATTGCAATCACGTGTTTTTCTTATTAATTTTTCGTCTTTCAGCTGTTTGGTTCTTTGCTAAGGATTTTACCAACATCAGAACTTTCTTTTAGAACTTAAGCACTATTTGATTCTGCGATCTTGTTACCTTTTTTTCCGGAACAGGAAAAGCAAGTGTGTTATATGTTTGGATCGAAGACTATTCTGGGCTTATCAGAATATAGTCTCTAAACTCTTGTCGCTCTGTTTCTGCCTTTTGTTTGTTTGTTTGCTTTTCTTTCTTTATTTTTTTTTTCTTGTGGATATTTGCAAATTCTTAACGAGTACATAGGTTCCGCGCTTGTAGACTTGGATGTGATCTTTTTGAATTAAAATCTTGCTTCTATTAATTTTTTGGGTGTTTTCTGAATCTGAATTCTGTATTTTAAGTAGGATACGTGATTCTAGGAATTTTATTCATTGGTGGAGGATAGGTTTAGTTCTGATAGATGTCGGCATGGGTTGAGAGACGAGACAGTTGAATCATAAAATCTTTGCTCGACATGGTTAGTAAACCTATATGACTACTTAGTAAGGCTATGGGTTGCTTGTGTCGGGCATCAGTACTTTTAAGTTTCTATTCCAGTCTTTCATACAGGAATAAGAATACGATCTGTGTCCAGGTGTCTGACTGAGAAAGGTGGAAAAACATGAACTTGGCCACACATCTAAAATCAGCATTTACTGTTAAGAGTTCCGTATTTTGTGAATTCTATCTTCAAAAACCTATAGACGATCGTGTAGTAAAATCTAAAAGCTAATTTTTATTGTCTAGTAACATGCTATTAAAATATTTGGGATGGTTGTCATTTTGATGTGGGGCCAAGACAAGTGTCGGCATCACATAGTAAAGATTAGCTATTCGTTTGTGTGAAATAACTAGGAGAGAGGAAAACCATATGTGGAAGTGTCTTCAAATCCATTGTGTCTCCAAAACGAAAGCTTTGTCCATTTAAGAGAGTCTAACTCCTAATCTTAGCACAAATATGCTGTTGAAGCTTCAGCAGCAAAATGCAGTTTGGTAATTGGATAAGGGAGCAACTTTGGAAGCATTTTCGTCAATACATCTATGGATGTTTATTACTAGAATGCCCATCCAATTATGGCATTTCAGCAAGATATTTTGCTATTGAAGCTTTGACAGCAAATAATACTCTCCTAATCTAATCTAGGGCTGTTCACAGGTCGGGTTGGGTCGGTTTACTGGCATCTTTCCAACTGACCCGACCTGGTCGGTTTACCTAGAAATGAAACCGAAACCAACCCAGTACTAAGTAAAACCAACCTAGTCGGTTTGAATTGATTTGGGTCGGTTTTGTGAATGGTTCTCTCGGTGTGAACGGTAAAGGATTCAAGTCTAAAAAAGCAAAGGCTGGATGCCTGGAAATAAAAATGATTTGATGGATTAAAACTGATATTTTATATATCAGAAATTTTATATATAATATGTATATTTCTGAAATAAAGCTGAAATATATATATATATATACATATATATATAATATCTGAAATATATTATATATATAATATATATCTAAGTTGGTTCGGGTCGGTTCGGTTTCGGTTTTCACACATGAAAACCGAAACCAAACCGAATCATCGGTTTATGTTTTGTTGTAACCCAAAACCGACCGATGCTGAAGAAAAACCGGCCAACTCGGGTTGGTCTGTTTAATCGGTTTGGGTCTTGTTATGAACAGCCCTAATCTAATCTATATTTAGATTTTAGATTTAATTACCCTATTAATTACCCTATACTGGAAGAGCATCCAACAATTAGTTGCATCCAATTTTTTTCAAGGATAGTGTTGTTTATCCATGAAATGGTATATTAAATGCTATTATTATTGATTATCCTCATAATTTTGCTTTTCAACTTCACCCTAATGAAATGGTACATTAAATGCTATTATTCATGACATTTCCCCATCTCTCATCTCTAATGATTTAAGTGGCACGTTTGGGCGCACAGGGTTAAAAGGTGTGCGTCTGGTGCACCTTGTGCTTCAGCCCAGGTGTGCGCATTTTCAAAAAAGTTGTGCAATTTGCTTCTTTTCTATGCCTAGCGGCTGGGCCGAGGGCTCCGCCCCCAGATCCCCCAAACCAAGCCCCTTGAGACAAGCCCAAACAAGTCCATGCCAGTGTCTTAAATTCTTAATCCTTACAAGAAATTCTGAAAATTCTTAATCTCTTCAGTCATTCACCAAAACTCCGAGAACCCCCTATTTGCGAATGCTGTTCATTCATCATCCTAATAAAAGAAATTTTTAAAAGAGAAATCAAAATTATAAAATCATTTTTTTTTGTAGGGATTGAGAATGAAAAATGTTTTGACATCCCATTAGTTGTTATTTGAAATAATGCAATGGGGAAAGAAATAAAGAAATTGAAAGCTTGGCATGCTTGAATATGTTTTATATGCTATTTTTTATTATATTTTTGCATTTTCACTTTGAATATGTTTTATTATTTTAATTTGAACTAATAGGTTTTTTAAATCATTTAGTTTAAAATTAAAGTTTGATTTTTTTAATTAGTACTATTTTTAATATTTTCTTAATTTATTTTGATTGTTTTTTATTTTGTGCCTTGCTCAAAATTTTGCAGCCCTAAAAAGGCACGGGAAGCCTGTTTTGGGCTATTTTCGGGAAGCTCCAAATGGAGCCTTTTGCTGTTTTTTTCAACTTTTCTTTGCGCGGAAAGACATGCCTTAACCAATGAATGGTCTTCAAGTTGCTAAGATCTTAATGCAAAAGTTCATATCGTCTTTTGGCTATCAGGTTTGCCGGAAGATCTTCTAAAAAAGACTTTCCAAATGGCACATAATTTTATTAATGAATGAAAGTTACCGTTTCCAATAAAAAAAAGTAAATAGTTGTTTCCTGATTTTTCCAAAGAAATTTGCCCATCCAATACAATAGTTGTATTATTGATTATTCTTAACACTTTTTCCTTTAAGTGAATAATAAATAGTACATTAAATACCATCTTATTTATTAGTATGATAGTTGATTTTTAAGGTTTTACAACTTTGCCTTCAAAGTAAATAGCATACTAAATGCTATTATTTACAATCTCCCCTCATCCCTTGTTACTTCAGATTTGGAAACTCAACCCATTTTGCTTCACCTTTTAGAATGGTAAACTATGGTTTAGAATTCATGTTTTTAAAGATTTAAATTTAAAATTGTAGAGGAAAAATGTCCACTTTTAATTGGCTATGGTTCACTATTTTCAGAAATTTTACTTCACCTAGGTCTTTTTTTTGTAACCTGTCCATGTGAGCTTTCCTTTGGTTGTAATAATATTCTCCTGTCATTTTTTTTTTCATTACGGTCTGACAACCTTTTAGGTTTGCGCCGTTTACCTGACTTTGTTGCTTGTACATCCTATTTGATTGCTCAGTAGGAGTCTCATTTCATCTTAAGGTTTTTTTATATTGATTAATATTTTTTTCACTCAATTGGTCTATGGGCATCTAAAATTTATATAGTTGGAGGAATATTCTACTTTTGTTATTATTTATTATTTAATTTGGATGCCTTACATATCTATGGCCCATTTTTACAGGCTGCCAAACCTCATGACTCTGCTCTTTTAGCTGAAAATGCATCACAGACTTCAGATGCTTCACAATTGGGATCTCAAACTTCTGCTAAAGGTCTGCATCTTTCTATGTTTCTATCCTTATTTGAACCCTTCAGAATAGTAGAATGCTAATCCTTTTGTGCTTGGATGCACAGATAAAAACACTTGGTTTAAAAACAAATGTTTTAAAATTTGTGGTTTGCATTTATATGTATTACTATTTTTTATGTTTTTTTTTTTTTAAATTTTGTCAAAAATTTGTCCTTGCTTCGAAAAGGTGTGCACCTTGTCTTGCACTTTGTGCCTTGTGCCTTTCTCCTCTAAAACACTGGAAAGTAATCTACATATATTTTTTAATCCTCTAATTTTGCTCAAAAAATAGAGAAAAAAAGGAGAAAATGTAGGTAACTGAATAGTACAAGTTAAAGAATGAGAAAGAGAAATTAGTAACCAAAAGAAAACAGATCATGACTTCCCTTATGCTGGTGTGATTATAATGAAGATATTAGGTTCTTTAGGTTTGAAAGTTGTACCTTGAGGAAGAGGTGATTATTGGTTGATATGTGGATTTACAACATTAGGTTTTGTATTTTAGTGTCATCCTTGGAATTGATGGTTGTAGAGTCAAGGATTGTTAGTGGTGCTTCTGTTGTGGTTGAGGGTGTATTGAGGTCATCAAATTATTATAACCTTTTGGGGGTTCTGAGTAGGAATCTGGTTGTGAATTGATGTTCTGATACTGATTGTAGTGAATGCAGCAYTAGTTGCAGAGATGTTAATGCACGGATATTTCAGAAGCCAGTCATAGTCACTTCTGAATAGGATGCCACTAGAAGATATGTATATGTGGAGATTTATCAAATTGCAATGTTGTATTGGCCTTGGAACCTGCTCACTGTGGTTGGTACACCGTTTTTTGTGATGCAGGTTCACAAGGGGCTATATAGTCTGCAAGGCATGTGTCTTCTTAAGGCGCTTAGGCTACTATGAGAATTGGGCACTCATATCGTCCCTTGGGGTGGGTGTCTCAGAACAGATGGAGTAGCCCTTGGAGGTTGAGCCACCAGATTAGGAAGGAGATGGGTTTTTGACTCAACCTGAACCACCCATTCATTTGGTATGTCAATTTCTTAGCCGACTCATTGGCTAGAAAAGTGATTGTGATGATGGATCTATTTTGTGCAACTTCCTATGTACAGGCAGTCCATAGACTTGTTGGCTGAGGATTCTTGGAGCTGGAAGCACAGTGCTGATGGCTCTTTCTCTGTTAACTCTTTTGCTGGGGTACTGAATGAAGGTGGTCAGTTAAAAGTTCCAGCTGGGAAAATTTGGAACCCAACAGTTCCCTCTAAAGTGGGTGCTTTGGTCTGGGCTGCTGCCCTTGACAGGTGTCCTACGAAAAAATCTCTGGTCAGGAGAGGATGAAGACTGCAACCATTTGTTCATTCACTGCTCTGTAATGTCTGCTATCTGGAGACACTTCCTATCGGGCCTGGGGCTTCACTGGTGTATGCCAAACTCTGTTTTGGAACTGCTATGAAGCTGGAGTTTCAGGGTTTGTCCAGGCTGGCTAGGTGTATTTGGAGTGTCTTGCCTGCAGCCATTTTCTGCAGTCTGGGCTGAAAGAGATAGGAGGATCTTCCAGAATAAAGCTAATGACTTAGATTGTTGATCTCCTTTGCTTTTGGCAAGCTCATTTCCTGGGTTGCTGCAGCCAAGCGTCTTCAGAACTCAGTCCTCAGCTCTCAGTTGAGAGCTAGGGATCTGCTTAAGTTATGATGTAATGCAGTGTGGTCTACTGTTTTTGGCTCCTTGTCTTTGGGGGCTTCTGTTGTAATTTTCTGTTCTATTAATAAAATTTTACTTTACCTATTCTCAAAAAAAAAAAAAAAAATCTATTTTGTGCAACTTGTATGCTAGCGTAGGAACACATATGTATCCTTTTACAGGGGAGCCCCTCCAAAAGGGGCATGGTCTAGGTCTTGATACATCATAGTAATAGATATGCATTGGCTGAGATTTAACTATGCTTTTGCGATGCAGGACCTGGATATGGATTCTCCAGAGCTCAAGACAAGGCTTGTGGGGTTGGAGTTTCAGCCTTACCTGCTATCCAGAAAAAATTGGGGGCTCAGACTAAGCCAACAACCAGTGGATCATCAAGAGAGCAATCAGATGATGATGAAGTTGATGGAGAAACAGAAATAACTGAGAATATGGATCCTGCTGATGCAAAGCGTGTAAGAAGGTAATCATAGGTTCCACTAACTTTATTTTGAATTATTTCGTGTGTTCTAGGAGGTTGGTGCATGGAGATGTAGGAGGGTTCTGCTCTCTAAATACTCGAACATCAAGTGTATATATCATTGCATTCATTTGGTATCCAGCATCTAAAAGAGCATAATGCTCTAGATGTTATCTTGAATTTCCCTTTTACACATACCACATGGGCATATGAAACTCTTGAATTTCCCTGTGCAAGCTAGGATATATCAAGGGCTATCAATGGGTCAGGTGGACCTGACAGAATCAAACTGGTTTTGGTTGCTCTGAACTGATTAAGACCAGAACTGACTATATTACAAAGATATCCCTAGTCTAATGCCTATCTTTCTTATGGTATACTTCAGTATATCAAATTATCATGTCCAAATGTGTCAATTTAACAAAGGTCAGTTTATTGTCAAATTACAGGACAAAAGTGGAGCTGTCAATTATAATTGGGTATTGGGCCAGCTCTAATTAATAATTGGGTTGGTTCTGAGTCAAGATTTGTTCTGCATATTTATTTGTTAGTTCAGGACCAGGTCTGCCATGACCAATCTGACTAGTTGACAGCACTCTTTATGTGAATAAAAAGCCTTATCATAATGCCTCTGTAGAATGCATACACATAAAAAAATGTTTCCAACCGTGTTACTTTTGCTTACTTTGCACAAAGTAGTCACGAATGCCTACATTGTTAATATTTGTAAACCTTGGGGGTTCTCCTTGCCTTTTAATTGAGCTACTTGATATGACTCAGGATGCTGTCAAATAGAGAATCGGCCAGACGCTCCAGAAGAAGAAAACAAGCACATTTAAATGAGCTTGAGAATCAGGTTTGGCCTGTATCTTGCCTATATATGCCTTAAGTTCGTCTATCGTTGATGATAATTATCAGTTCTTTGCTAATGATGCTATAGGTTGCACAATTAAGGGTTGAGAATTCTTCATTATTGAAGCGTCTTGCAGACATAAGTCAGAAGTACAATGAAGCTGCTGTTGATAACAGAATTCTAAAAGCAGATGTTGAAACATTGAGGGCAAAGGTAAGGCATCAGATATTTTCTGATTGTTTTGGTCAAATTTGTTGAAGTTTGATAGTTTTATAAAGAGAATGTTATTAAACATTGTAATCACTCGGATGATTGTGCATACATGCACTCTAGGAAAATAGATAAGTGGTTAAACAGGACAATAATTCTTAACATGCATACGCACACTCCACAGAAAAGTGTCATGTGGATGAAATCAATCTTAGCACAGTTTTGGTTTTCTCAGCCTAGTTGCATTCATTCCTGGGTGTACCTTGTTTAACTGGTTCTGTCCTTTGTCTTTATTGAACTGCCTTTCTGATGTTTCTCTTGTAATATTTGATTGTAAAGATTGATAGTCTTTACCTGTGGAAAGGACAGGGCCAAGGAGTGTTTTTCTATTATGAAGGTAAGAGAGCTTGGCTTGCTTCAACGATGATTGAGTTTGCTAATGGCTACTGAAACTCAAACTTACCGTTGCCTAATAATATAGGTTATTGCTATTTGCTGCTTTGGATTTTTCCAGTTCTAGGGCTTTTGGAACCATGGTTATCAAGGCAAAGCTAGTTGACAAGGGAAACACTTAGGCTGTCTACAACTGATAGCCTGTGCTTAGACAGATCTCTCCCTGTGCATGACACATTAGTTCATATGAACTCCAATAACAGTAACAGTGCTGAAGGTATGGCTGTATGAACTAACATGTCACTTGGAAAGAGCCTCTAGACAGTACATGCTGTCAAATGTGGGCAGCCAAAGTTTTCTTAGTGACGGGGGAGCACCTTTGTTGCCTAGGTGATAGATCTTTTGAAGTAAAACACTAAATCGTAGGGTAATTCTTTAGGTTTCATAGCAACCAGCAATCATCATTTAATAATCTTCATCAAATATGTATGAACTTTGTATCAAAACATGGAAAATCAACATATTTATGAGATGGAAAGAAGAAAGAAGGAAAACTTAGATTTTTTTTGTCCCAAGAAAAAAAGATAAGGCGTGGAAGAAGTGGAACAGTGTCTTAGAAAAAAGAAAGGAGAAAACCTAAAAAGCAAAAAGGAGAAGGGTGAAACCCTTCTTTGCCTAAGAAGAAGAAGAACCTAGTATATGAATTATGAAAATATTATAAATCCACAGAATGAATTTAATGTAATAATGTCTATTATAATGTTATAATCTATAAAATAAAAAATATAAAACTATATTATGATGCTTTGTACAAAAACAGCACTTGGACCTAGTGACCCTCCATTGCCCTGTTGCCTAGGCATCTCCTAGGTGGTGGTGCCTTGACAACTATGTTCAGAATTTTGATAATGGACCATCTTATGGCCCAATAAACTCTGTTTTCTTGGTGTCATAATACATGTACAAGGTATGGAACTAGAATGACAGTTTTTTGGGAACTTATTGGTGAAATCATCCTTTGACAGTTCTTTGGGAACTTATTGGTGAAATCGTCTTTTTGGATTTAAGTAAACCATCCTCTTTTTTCTTGGATTTTGTTGACCATTTTCAACACCCTTTATGGATGTGTAGAACAGTAGAACTTGAGCAGTCAACTAGCCTATGTAATTGTTTTATACCAGGTCATAGACGGGCATGATGCACATGCAGATAAGTCAGACCTACGATTTGGTTGGTTTCTAAAGTAAGCTCCTTTTTTCATGATAATGAAACCAATCGATCATTTTGTTTGTTGTTTAATTTTCTCTTCCTTTTTCTATATTTGTGGACGGTTGATAAGAATGTGATACAGTGTAAGATGACTTAAATCCCCTCGTCCCTTGTCTCCTTTCCATACAGTTGCAGAATCATCTACAATCTGGTGAGAAATCTTATAACATACTTTAACTCCTTGCTACATAATGAAAAAGAAATAGATTTCAAGAGGTTCTAATTCATTTCAGGAGAAGATTCAAATGCTTCCACAGAATATATGCTCTTACATAGAGTAAAATGGCAGTACAGGTATTCATAAAGCATCAAACCCCCAACCCCAATAAAGTGTGGAAAGAAAGATGACAATGATGATGATAATGGTATGGTGATAAGGTTTTTGATAGAGCTAAAGTTAGGTTATACAATCCTGACGTTGTACCCTTGCATTTCTATTTCTGTTTACAATGCATATGATATCATGATACTGATTATTCTATATTTATGATAAAACACTTTAAAATCGCTGCCTTTTTTGAGGGTAAGACATTGTGCTTATGTTTGCATAGTTATTTCCAGGTGAAGATGGCAGAAGAGACAGTTAAGAGAGTGACGGGATTTAACCCCTTTCTCCAGGCCATGTCTGCTGATATAAACAATAATGAGGCCATGGGCTTTTCTGGTAGCTCATCTGACACATCTGCAGATGCTGCTGTCCCTGTGCATGATGATCCTAAACGGCACTTCTGTCAACCTGCTGCTGGTGCTCCTCCTCCATCTCATCATACTACAACACATGATCACAGAGTGAATAATGGTGGCTTGCCTGATGTTCCTCCAGTTGCTGCGGTTGAAGATGTGCAGCATGTCACTGGGGACACAAAGATGGGCCGGACATCTTCCTTGCAGCGAGTGGCGAGCTTAGAACACCTGCAGAAACGGATCCGTGGGAGCTCAAGTTCTTGTGGACCTGTTCAGTGGAATGGTGGGTGGGACTCAGAAACCACCCATACAGTGGAGAGCAGTGACAAACAGAATCAAATCTGATGCTTTTGCAAGTTATAGGACATGTTGCAGTGTTTTTCTTGGCTGCATGTACTGAAGAACTTCTATTCTCTGTTAAATGGCAATTTGATGCTGCATTTCTCAACCCCGTATTAAATATCTGCGGGGACCCATTGTTTAGTACTCCAGATGCTGTTGCCTGTTCACAATTTGCAATGTCCATTGTTAACTTCGAATGTTGAAGTTTGGCATTTTCACCATCTCATTGAAATTATTTGTTTTACCATATGCCCTTCGGTTGTTCAGATTTAAATTAATACTGAGAAGATGGGAGAGGGGAGAATTTGGTGGATCAAATAAAGACTGCTTCATCTTTCGGAAAAAAAAAGCCTGCTTGTAATTGTTTTGATATGGCTACTTTTTTGTTTATGTTCCTAGGTCTTTGAATGGAGCTACCGACTGGATAGCTCGAAGGACTAAAGGTTCCAGATGTCAAGTTGCTTGGTGAGGTTGTTCACTGGTTTGGTTGTTGATAATTTGTTGTATTCTCATTGTTTTTTCCTGTGATTAGGGATATATTCGAGCTGAATCGACAGAAATATATGGTTATTCAAGCTCAGCTTGGCAGAAAAATATAAGGCTAGAGATCATGTTTGAACTTACAATAAGCCAAGTTTTATGAAAAAAAAATAAAAGATTATAGTATAAAAATATATATATATATATATATATATATATATATTAAAAATATTATATAATATAAGTTAATTAGGTTCTCGAGTTTTAAGAGCCATGAATCTGAGATTGGCTCGGCTAGATTAACAAATGGGCTTATATATTGGGCTTAAATTTGACTTAATAATTAGTGAAAAGTTTGATTTGTGTCTATTTTCCTACTAATATATTTAGCTGGTTGTATCCACCCTCACCCAAATCGGGAGGGAAAAGAAGAAAAGGATGGGAAGAGAGAGGGAGAAAAAAAAAGAGAATAAAATCATGAATAGAGAATACAGAGTCGGTAGGAAAGAGAGAAGAGAGAGATTGAAAATTAAGAAACATAAAGAGAGACGTGATTGACCGAAACTGATGAGTGATGACCATTGAGACTTGAGAGAGCTAGATGAGCTGTCTCGATTACCTTCGTCTGTTTCATCAGGCAGACCAGGTTCTGTGTAGCACTGTTCAAGTTAGGTTGAAGCCCCCCAAAAGTGAAGAGGATCAACTTCGTTGTGTTGGGTTGGAGGTGCGCGATTAGAGTTATAGCAAAAAACAACAAAAGGAAGGTCTTGTACGGCTGTAAGTGGTTGGCAAAGATATTGGTGTGTGTTCGATCAGTTTGGTGAATATGTGGGCAGCATTAGGTTGCAAAGTGAAGTTTAAAAGCATAAAAGGATAATCGTTGAACATCAAGAATATTCTTGATGGGTGCAAGTATAATCGCTCACGCTCTTTTACTTGCATGTGTTTAGGGAAACTGAGTAGGCTGCCGACTAATTGGCCAATTTTGGACACTAATAATCTATTTTAGGAATATTTCCGGATGATAGTATCAGAAATGATAATGTCATCATCAGGAGATRTTCTCAATACATGGCAGGGATATGCTGTGGGATATTCCCTTATGGGGTGTAGATCTGAACTCTATTTACATTTGTTTTAGTGTGGTTTGGGGAAGAAAAGTACCCCTGGGTCTTAACCCTGATCCAACCTAATTGAACTAACTTTAGATATTAAGCCTTGTTTGCTTCTTGGTAATATACTTATTCGGGTAAATGCACTTACTCGGGTAATGTGAATAATTAGGTTTGAATGACCTGTTTTTTCTATTCCAGCATAACATGTTTTTATATACAATTGGAGTCCTAAACGTTAGGACTTGTTCCCTATTTTAGAAGAGAAAATCTTGCCTAATCTATTCTAAATAAGGAAACAATTATATAGCTAATTACACCTGATTTGTAGCCTAATTTATAGCTAATTTATAGCAAAGAATCCCAACACTCCCCCTCAAGCTGGGTTGTAAATATTTATCATACCCAACTTGCAACTAAGATCTTCAAAATGCGCCCTTAGAAGTGCTTTAGTTAGGATATCGACCGTCTGGAGATTAGAAGGAATGTAAACAGGCTTGATTACTTTCCCTTCTATCTTTTCTCTGATAAAATGCCAATCTATTTCCACATGCTTGGTTTGATCATGATGAATTGAATTTTTAGCAATACTGATGGCAGATTGACTATCACACAGTAGCTGGATTGTTCCCTCAGAAGGTATCTTCAATTCGGCTAATACTCTTTTCACCCAAATTCCTTCACAAATACCATGAGCCATAGCTCGAAATTCCGCTTCTGCACTACTTCTAGCCACCACAACTTGCTTTTTACTTCTCCATGTTGTCAAATTTCCCCAAACATAGGTACAATATCCAGAAGTGGATCATCTATCTGTGATTGAGCATGCCCAGTCTGCATCAGAATACAATTCCACTTCCTTGCTTGAGTTTTTTCTGAATAACAGTCCCTTTCCTGGAGTCATTTTCAAGTATCTCAAGATTCTGTACACCGCTGTCATGTGTTCTTCAATAGGGTTGTTCATGAACTGACTAACAACACTTACTGAGAATGCTATGTCAGGCCTAGTATGTGAGAGATAGATCAATTTCCCTACAAGCCTTTGATATCTTCCCTTATCTACAGGAGTACTTTCTTTATTTGAACCAAGTTTGGTAGTGTAGTCCATAGGTGTCTCTGCAGGTTTACACCCAAGCATACCTGTTTCTTTAAGAAGATCCACTACATACTTTCTTTGAGAAACTGCAATGCCCCGCTTAGACCTAGCCACTTCCATTCCCAAGGAGTATGTGAGTTTACCTAGGTCCTTGATCTCAAACTCTCTAGTCAGAAATTCTTTGACTCTTGGAAACTCCTCAGCATAATCCCCTGTTAGAACAATATCATCAACATAGACAATCAACGWAGAAATCAGTCCTTCTGAAGAATGTTTGACAAACATTGTATGATCAGACTGTCCCTGTATATACCCATTACTCTTCATAACTCTAGTAAATCTCTTAAACCAAGCTCGGGGTGATTGTTTGAGATCATAAAGTGACTTCTTTAGTCTACAAACTTTGTTGATGTTTGATGAGTTCTGTAGTCCCTGGGGAATGTCCATATAGATCTCCTCTTCTAGATTCCCGTTCAAGAATGCATTCTTGACATCTAGTTGATGGAGGGGCCAATCCAAATTTGCTGCAAGAGAGAAGTATCCGAATAGTGTTGAGTTTTGCAACTGGAGCAAAAATCTCCTCATAATCTATGCCATAGGATTGAGTAAATCCCTTAGCTACCAACCAAGCCTTGTATCTCTCAATACTATAATCTGCCTTTGTTTTTACAATGAAGATCCACTTGCACCAAATCACATTCTTTCCATGAGGCAAATCAGTAATTTCCCAAGTACCATTCTTCAATAGAGCATTAACTTCTTTATTAACTGCCTTCTTCCATTTTGGGATAGCCATGGCTTCTTGGATTGAATCAGGAATGGAGATAGAATTGATTTTGTTGGTGAATGCTTGGCAAGATGAATATAGTCCCTCATAATTCACATAGTTGCCAATAGGGTACAAGGGCCTACTTCTGCATTCTCTCACCCCTTTCCTGAGTGCAATGGATAGGTTCTCATTGGAATTATCATGATCACTTAAACTAGTACCTGCAGAATTTTCCTCCACAGTCTATAAGTCAGATGTAGGGATTTTTACCTCAGGTTCATATGCTGGCAGTATCTGTGAATCTGCTAGAGTCTCTGATTCCTTCGGTTCTCCCCTTTTTCTGTGATAGACAATTATCTCGGGAAATTCAGAATCAATTGATTTTGCTTCAGGTTCAATTTGGACACTTGGAGAAGGTGTTTCAGGTGTTTCCAGTGTTGCTGGTGTGCAATCTATGCTATCCAAGAAAAGCTGATATTCTTGTGGTTGACTTTGACTAGAACTCTCCCCCTGAATATCAATTTTGGGGTAATAGGGTTTGGTTTCAAAAAATGTGACATCCATGGTGTGATAAAACTTTTGGTTGTTAGGACAAAACCATTTGTAACCGTTTTGGTTGGGAGAGTACCCTATAAAGATACATTTGGTGGATCGAGAGTCAAGCTTGGTTCGATGTTGTTGATGAATATGCACAAACACAGTACACCCAAATATTTTTAGCGGAAGAGAGGAAATCAATCGACTTTGAGGAAAGTGTTGTAAAAATACTTGATTTGGAGTGGAAAAATCTAGTACTTTGGATGAAAGTCGATTGATTAGGTATGCTGTTGTAAGTATGGCCTCACCCCCAAAACGTTTTGGAACATTGGATGAAAACAACAGAGACCTGGCAATGTCCAGAAGGTGTCTATTCTTTCTCTCGGCTATCCCATTTTGCTGAGGGGTATCTACACAGGAACTTTGGTGTATGATTCCCTTAGTTGATAGATATGAGCCAAGATAAGAGTTAAAAACTCTCTTCCATCGTCAGTTCTATGTATTTTAATAGAAGTTTGAAATTGATTTTTAATCATTGTTTTGAAATTCTTAAATATTTGAGGAACTTCTAATTTATTTTTCATGAGAAAAATCCATGTGAGGCGTGTGTGATCATCTATGAAAGAGATGAACCACCGAGCTCCTATGACATTTGGAACTTGAGATGGACCCCAAACATCACTGTGGATCATAGAAAAAGGTTTCGATGCTTTGTATGGCTGAATTGGGTATGAAATGCAAGAGTGTTTTGCAAATTAACAAATTTCACACTGAAAAGAACTAGCACTTTTATGTCTGAATAAACTTGGGAAAAGTTTGGATAAGTACATAAAACTTAGGTAACCTAACATGTAATGACACACCATCACCAACCTCTCACTCTCACTTTTCAACTCACTAACAGACACACAAGAATTATTGTGACAAGAAATATGTTCACTCACTCCTAGATGAGATTGTCTTGCAGAATCCAGTTGAACCTCAAGATGATAGAGCCCAACATGACTCCTAGCACTGCTAATCATCCTCCCCGAAGTCAAATCTTGAAATTCATAGACATAAGGAAAAAAAATTAACTATACAGTTAAGATCTTGGGTAATTTTATTTATGGAGAGTAGGTTGCAGTCTAAATTAGGAACATATAGAACAAATTTGAGTGTTATGTCCCTGGATCCACAACTGAACCAGTTCCTTCAACTTTTGCCAAAGAACCATATGCAATTCTAACTATGAGAGTTTCATTACAAGGAGAATATGTGTGGAAAACTCGCCTATCTCCTGTCATGTGATCGGAAGCACCAGAGTCTACAATCCAAGRTTTATAGTGCTCTTGTTTTACAGTCAAAGCCTTAAGAAAGTTACCTTTTTGAGCTATGGAACCTGACCCAACAACTGTTTTGTTGTGATTGCAGTAGCCTTCTCAGTCCATCAAGTTCCTCTTTGCTAAAATTTGCAAGTTGCTCTGAACTGCCAGCCATGCCTCGAATTTCCTTCTCTGTTGCTGTCTTTGGCTTCCAATCAGCAGGTTTTCCAAGGAGTTTCCAGCAGGTTTCTTTGGTATGACCAGGGTGGTGGCAATGTTCACACCATGGCCCTCCCCCTTTGCGTGGTTGCTGCTGGTTTTGGGCAACCAAGACTGATGACTCACCACCACTAGCTGATTTTTCCATCCCTAGCATCAAATGGCGTCTACTCTCTTCCCTTCGGACCTTAGACGTAAGCTTGGTAGCGGTTTTATGCTAAATATCCTTCATCTTACAGCATCAAGACTTGAATTTAGTCCCAAGCAAAATTTGTAGATCCACTTATTCTCAATTATCTTCTTGTATTGTTTGAGATCAGCGGTAGTATCCCAGGAATATTTTTCAAAAGCGTCCAGTTGCTGCCAACTTTGATGGAGTTTGTTGTAATACTCGGTCACAGATAAATCACCTTGTAGGAGATCATACAAGACGCCCTCAATTGTCACCAGTTCGGGGTTGTTGTCTTTGTGAGAATAAGTGTCTTTTGCAGCCTCCTAGATCTCTACAGTTGTTTCATATAGGAGAAAATTTTCTCCTATGTGTGGCTCCGTGGAATTCACTAACCAAGACATAACTTGGCTGTTATCTCTCTTCCAAATCCGATAACCAGCATCTTTTTCATCTGGTTTGGTGATATTTCCGATGAGATTATCTTCTTTCTCCTTGTTGCGGACATGAAACATGAAGGATTGAGACCATTGGATGTAGTTTTGGCCATTCAATTTGTAGATGGTGATGGGTGTGGATGAGTAGTTTGTAAAGTCTCCACCATTGTTGTTGAACATAACAGTTTCGATGTTTGAAGAGGAGGATTTTGGAGTTTCAATTGAAGATTCGTTGGTGTTTGTCATGGATGGTATTTGATGTTGCTGTCGGGAATGAGATAAAGGCTAGGATGGCTGATGAATACTGCCGGAATAAGCAGTGTAGAATGCTGCTGGAAAAGYAGTWGAWAGAGAACYGACCTAGGAYGGCTRTGGGAAGAACAGGAGGCGTCTAGGGTTGCTCTGATACCATGTGAATAATTAGGTTTGAATGATCTGTTTTTTCTATTCCAGCAGAACATGTTTTTATATACAATTGGAGTCCTAAACGTTAAGATTTGTTCCCTATTTTAGAAGAGAATCTTGCCTAATCTATTCTAAATAAGGAAAAAATTATATAGCTAATTACACCTGATTTGTAGCCTAATTTATAGCTAATTTACAGCAAAGAATCCCAACAATAGTGTTTCTCAGGAAAGACTAATCCAAGTAAGTGCATTTATCCATGTTTTTTATTTCCCATGTAAATAAGGTAATGGCCATTTTAACCATAAAAATCCATTATTAAAAGGGCATTTTTGTCTCATTCAAGTATTTACATCTTTCTCTCTTGGTGGGAAAATTATTTACCCACCTAGGAGATGTGTATCAATTACCCGGATAAGTGATACTTAAGAAAATAAACTTTCTCTGATCCCCACATAAATCTAAAAAAATAACATGGGTTTCTTGGTCAAAGGGAATCAAAATCCCATTGACCAACTTTCCCCCTCTCAAAATCCTAAAAAAGAATGCCCCCTTAATGGTGGATTAAATCAGAAATTGCCACACCTGTACTGATTTATGAATTTAGATTAGCTGAATGCTTTAGCTGTTCAACGGGATGCGGAACCAATGATGAGGTTCTATGCCAGTAATAAATTCATGGGCCCTACTGTAAAAGATGAGGGCCCCATGTATTTAATACTRACAAGAAACCTTATTGATGTAACGCGATCCGGTCACTCCTAGCTGGCACTCGCGTGGCTCCTGAGAGACACCTGAAACGAGAGGAAAGAAGAAGAACTCCCGGGGGTTTGCCCGACGGGAACACTCCGATGATTAAGTCAGTATTTTGTGCAAGAAGCAAAGGGAAAACGAAGGCTAAGAGTGAAGATTGCACAGGTGATTCGAAGATACCTTGTTCCTTGAGAATAAGCCCCTTATAACTGAATTCCGTTGCTTCGGGCCCTCTGCTTATGACAGGGCAGGTATAACCGCCACTATCAGTCTGCCACAGCCATTACTGGCAAGGCTGAGGTGGCACGCGCGGGGCCGTCGTTGTAGGGTACGTGCCTGTCAGGTGCGAGACACCTTTCTGAAGGTGACAGGCGCGGTGCTTTCTGACGAGGGACATGTTTGCTGTCCACAGATTTGTCGGGTACGACGGTCGAGCAGAAAGCCTTCCTGCGGTATGTCGAGCTACCCTTCCGCGAATTACCCTGAGTTGGGCTGTCTCTTGAGTGATGAGCTGCCCGTAGCAAGTTATGCCGAGCTAGCTGACCCGAGGTGTCCATGCCTCGGGGTGTCTAGAGATGGATCGGTGCGTTCCTGTCTAGGAGTGGCCCGAGGTCCATTGGGGGGAGGAGGTGCGGGTAAGATGGCTTCCGGCGAGTGGCTTACTCGCCCAATTGTCGAGCTGAGCTTGGTGGGACTTTCCCTCCCAGTTGTGGTCACGTCCGTTGCGCTGTCAT